TAAAAATAAAAATATCACATATTTTTCCTAAATGTTTATAATTTTCTGTTGTTCCTTACTTTCTGTTGTTTCTCTTTCAAGGCCAATTGGTTCTTTAGCCGTTCTACTAGATTTCTCATTGTAGTTGTTGGAGCTCTCGAATTTGCTTCTTTTTGAGCCTGAAGTTCAGATTTTAAACTCTGTGACTCTTTTTGTGACTGGCCCAGAAGACACCTTAAATCCTCTACTTCTGCTTTTAATTTTTTCAGTTCATCTGCATGGTTTTCTTGGAGCCTAATGTAAACAAACATATATATTGGTGGTGTTGCAATTAATACCTTGATTGATACCAATTTCATGAAGAGCAAATGTTCAGTCCTATATATCCTTACAATGTAAATCTTGATGTAGACATCTAAATCTAAAAGAAAAATTCCTTATTCCACTTAACTACTCTTAAACTTAACATAAAATAGAAATTTTTCTTCTAGTTTCCGCCTACTATTTTTGGCAACAATTTCATCAAGTTATTTTGTGGCTCTAGTCAAACAGCATTTAGAGAATGAATAAAACAGAACTTTAAATGTTATGGCTCCTGCAAGATGTGACTGCTTCCTTTATATCATGGTTTCTCAACCATGGCACTATTAACATTTTTGACTAAATAATTCTTTGTTGTTGGGGATGTTGTCCTGTGTCCTGTGCATTGTAGGATGTTTAGTAGCATCTCCTGCTTCTATCCACTAGATGCCAGTACTATTTCCTAGCCATGACAATCAAAAATGCCTCCAGACATGGCTATATGTCCCCTAAAAGGGGAAGGAGGACAAAATTAACCCCTATATTTGAGAACTACTGCTGTAAATTGACATGCTGCAAAGACAAAATATAAACTTTCACAGAAATCACATGTATTATTAACTTGTTTATAGTTCAAATTCACTAGTATTGTATCTATACCTATATATATGGAAGTGGATACCATCAATAGACTTAGTTAATTCAATTAATCCTACTACTCATTCAGCATTAAGTCTGATAAAATGAATTATATCTAGTTTATTGTGCATACAGACATTGCATCTGTATTGAGATTCAAACTATTAAACTCTGAGCAATGAGAGGGAGATTATGCTAAGCCATGAACAAATGTTAAAGTCTTTGGGACTTGATGCTTTTAGTAAAATTTAAATCTAACTTTAAATAATTATCAAATTTTGAAAATAGCAGGTTTTACTAAAGAAATCACAGAGATATGTAATTTCATAAGATACATTAAAATATGCACACAATGTGCATACTGAGAATACAAATATAATTTAGGCTAAAATGACAGTAAGGTACAAAATAAGCTCCTTAACAAAGCATAAATAGTGTTAATTTTGTCAGAGGCATGCTAGATAAGTGAGTAAGGAATCAAAGGCTCTCACAGATGCTTCAGAGCTGGAATGGAATTATAAGTAGTTCAACTTTCTCATTTTTTCAGATAAGAAAATTGAGGCCCAGAGAGATAATTCTACAATGATTAGAATCTGCATAACTACAAACCTATTTTAGGTTTAAAATCTATGTTCTGATAAACTGGTTGAACAATGTTTAGAATCTCTAATATAGGAAATGCTGTGAACATGTTATTGTCACTATAAATTAATACAGAAAATAATGACTTTTTCATTCAACAAACATTTATTAAGCCTCTATTATATGCCAGACACTGGCAGAGGTGTGTAAATAAAAGTTTTATATTTGTATGTTACTTTACAACTTTCAAATTACATTCATATACAGTTCTACTTGACCTTCACATAACTACCCTGCGAGAGCCAGGCTAAGTACTGTCACTTCCATTTTAAAGATGATGAAACTGAAGCTCAAAGAGGTTCAAAACAAGATTCTGGAAAAGAATCTGGATTAGCTTTTGAGTCAAATTGACTAGTTTCAAATTATGGCTTTCCCATCTCTTCCTAGGCATGCTACTGAGCAATCCTGAGGGAGTTTCCTATCTGAAAAATGGGGAAATTAGTAACATATGTCGTAAGTTGTCCTGAAAATAAAAATAATATATATAAAGGTCTTAGACCAGTACCTGGCATAGCAAATGCTAATGCTGTATCTTCATTATATCATTATTATCATTTGCCTATTTTTACAATACATTTCTAAGACTCACCGTAATTTGACATTTTCAAATTCTTTGACTTTCAATTCAGTGATTTCTCTTTGTTTCTCTAAATCTTGTGATACTTTCTTTAGTTTGACCAAAAGTGAGGAGAGAGAGTCATCTTGTTCTGCTATTGTCTGTTCCATCTCAGCCAGATGAACAAAATGCTTGTTGGTAGGAACTGGAGTGGGAGACTGTTTTATTAAATCCTATGAAATATGAATATATTAGCAATGGGCATGTATAATTCATGCTGTACTTATTCTATAATTTTAATTTGGTTCCTCAAATGATCAAAGTATAATATCTAATCTAAAATTTAGTGATTTAACAGGCAATGAAGCCTTAAGGAAGACAGGATTCAAGCTCATTCTATCAGCATTAAAAAAAGATAGGAAATAGAGAACTTATTCTTCATATTCTCAATTTCTAGCAAAGTGTCTACATACATTAGAGGGTCAATAAATGTTGACTAAATTAAGCTCAAAAATTTTAAGGTTGCACATTAAGAGACAAAAGACAGGTCATTTCACACAACAGAACAGAATGATCAAAGAAGGCAATTATCAACTGAATTCAAAAGATGGAAAGCACTTAAATACGGGTAAGCTTAAACAAGTAGAATCTGAAAAGAAAGAGAGGTTCATGGAAGACTCTGTATGGCTAAGGAGTGTAAATATAATTTTATGGGCACTGGTGACCTACTGAAGGATTTGGGTCTAGGGAGACGAGTGATCAGAGCTGCATTTTCAGAAGATTATTTTGGCAACAAAAAGGTAGGGTGGCTTTGAGAAGAGAGCTGAATTTTAAATTATATGCTATCAAAAATCAATAAAGAATCGAACAAAGTTCTTAGAATCTTACCCAAGCTGTTTGTTTGAATTTATTGAGTGAGCTATCAGCCTGTAGTTCTAATTTATGATGAAGAATATGAAGGTCTTCCTCATGTTTCCTAACAATTTCTCTTTGCTCCTGTTTTACAGAAAATCAAAACTATATCTTAAATTGCTATTTGAATAAATTTAGAAGATCTTAAATATCTTATTAACTTTAATTTTTTAAAATCTCTACAAGACAGGGAAGAAACAACATCTTCATGCAAATATTTAGACCAGTATACATCTCCCCTAGCACATGTTCAAGCTGACAAGCCCAGCTTCAGATCATAATTTATTCTAAACATTAGAATAACATGTGTATCTATCATCTTTTTGTTTCTAGAAAAATTTTTAAATGTTAGATATTCCCCCCTAAGTTCTAACTAATCTGATTTCCCCTCACTACCAGTATGACAGATTTCATCCTAAATAATTTCCTCAATCCTTACCTATAAATTCAATTAATATATTTCAAAATCATATGGTTTTACCACGACAGCTCCTCCTGCTTTAGTCAGTCTATAAGAAAAAGATGCACATACATAAACTGCCAGTTTTACTGACAGATCTATAATCCAATCATAGCAAAGGAAGGATTCCTAAATAGAATCATTTGAAAGTAAGAAATGAACTACCACTTTAGGGCAGAATAATATTTTGCATTTGAGTAAAAAACATGACAATAAATAAAATAGCATAACATAATATAATAAAATACCTCTCTGGCTTTTTCTAGAAGATGTTGATATTTCTTTAACACTTCTTCCTTTTGATTTAACCTTGCTTGCATGTTTGCAATGGTTTGATGAGCAATTTTCAATGTGTGATGAGATTTTGGTTCCACTTCTTTTCTGCCTAGCTCAGCTATAAGTTTTTCTCTTTCTGCAGTGGCAGGCAGTCTAAGCCTCAGTTCATTGATTACTTTGTCTCTTGACAGAATATTTTGCTCTGCTAACTTTAAAGCAGATTCTTTTTCTTTTAGCTTCTGCAATGATTAAATCACAATAAATTATTAAAGTATTTTTTCCTTTAAAATGTTTCATCTGAATTTTAGTTAGATTGGTTATTAGCAAAAAAAGGAGTTTCACTTTATTTTTCATAGCATATTTATCACAGCCATCTGATAGTTAATAAGGTTAAACTATCTCTATGTGACAATACAGTTAATTGCACGTAGTGTTTATTTATAAGATTATTACATGTGTTAGAAACTTCATTGGTATGATGAAAATGAAATTTAATTAAGGTATTTAATTTATATCTTGCAGGTTAAAACTGGAAATGTGTGGTGGTGCTAGATGTAGGAAGAAAATGTAACAAACCGTTTCTTTCATTTTAGTCTATTGACTATCAGAGCTCTAGGAAACTAATCCATAAAAGTCAGTTGAGTAAAAACTGAAATTTTAGTGGCTCAAGTCAATGAATCATTATTATGAAATCTGTAGTTTATTAAAACAAAACATAAAAAAATACAAAAAAGTTTTTACTCTTCAGAAGGTAATTTAAATCAAGTAACTAAGTGGCAATTCACATAAATGACAAATCTTACAATTACTGAAAATCTGAGTTTCCTGGATTGATTTAAAATGTACAATATTACTTGAACAGCTGTTTTGAAATTTATTTGCAGTAAATATGTTTAGATGGAAACTAAAATGAAAATCATATTTAGTTTATATTATTTTCTGAGCAATTTAATAAAGAAGACAGATTTGATCACCTATTAATCAAATTCAAGATCTAGATTAAAATAATAAGTAATTTCTAGTTTACCTTCAACCATTTAACCATGCATAAAAACAAATGAGCTGAAAAGTGATTCACAGATTATATAATACTTATATAATACTTCAAAGTAAAACATAAAAACAAATAAGAATGAAAAGATCATACAGGGAAAGGTAATACATTGCTCATAAAGCTATAATTAAATGCTTTCTGTTTCTTTTCATGCTCACTATTACTTATCAGTGTACCTAAAAGTGACAAACAGTGATTAAATGAATAGTGGATTCAAATTAACCATATTTGCTGTTCATTATTGGCTATTAGAACCACTATAGGAGAATAGGGAGAGAGAGTGCAATAAGCAAGAGATTCATCATTCTATGCTTTGTCCTCATTAATAAATACTATTTAGAAAATTTAACAAATAGAACCAATAATACAGTAATTAAAATGCAAATTCTTCTAATTACCTCTTCTAGTGATTTGCAAGTTGCCCTTGTTTCTACGATTATTCGAACGTTCTCCTTAATTTTTCTTAGTGCAATCTCAAGTTGATTTGGGAGGGGCAAACTAGGGTCTGGTATTGATCCTGTAGCCTCTTCAAACTATTAAGAAATGGTATGGTTTTTAAAAGAGTTGCAGCATTGAGAATAACATTAATTTTTACAACTGTATGACAAAAAATAGATTAAACCCCATTTATATTTTAATATAAAAAGATAACATCAATTAAAATTATAATACATCTGATTTAGAAAATATTTCTATTAGTTAACACTCTAGGCCATTCATACCTTTTGTGTCGCATTTAGTATTTCATTTTGCTGACGGTCAAAAATGTCTAGTTGACGTTCCAGCTCAACTTCTCTTTGATCCCAGGCCATTTGTCTTTCTTCATGAAACTAAAAAAAGACAACGTGTGTCAGATGTACACACAAAGACACCAGGTATGTAACAGGCATTTTACATTTATTTTCTTATTTAATCGTGACAATAATATCTTGAAGTCACTATTATTATTTTTATTTTATGGAAAAGGATACAAATTCAGGGAGGTGAAGAAACTTGCCTAAGATCACAGACATAGGCAGATGTGAAGTCAGGATTTCAATCCCTCCACCCATCCATTTATCCATGCATCCATCCTAAACATATGCTAAGTACTATTCTAGGCAGTACAAACAAAGCAGTGAACAAAATCAAGTCTCTGTCACTATGGAACTTACATTCTAGTGAGGAGGAGACAACCAATAATCAACAAGTATGTAAGTAATATGTCAAGAGGGAGACAAGTCCTATAGAGAAAAATTAAGATAAATAATCTCTATTTAAGGAATCTTGAAGTAGGATTTACTGTTACATATTAGGTGGCTGGTGAAGCTTGCACTGATAAGGTAAGAAGACATTTATTTGAGTTAAGACCTGAGGGCAGTGAAAGCATAAACACCACAGGTATCAAGGGTAAGAACAATCTAAGTGGAGGTAACAACAAAATTTCTGAGACAATCATATGCTTGATGAATTTCGACTCTCTCCAAAGCACATGCTTTATTCTTACTTGTAACTGTGAAAAGTCAAATAAACAATATCAAAATAAAAATCAACTTACCTAATAAATTTGCTTATATATGGCTCCTTTTAAGTCTAAGACTACTGTTATAAAAACTAAATAGAGTTTTAGAATAGTTTAGAAGATAATGAATAAATTATTTTATAATCCATTAATAATGGGAGCTACATTCAATTAAGAGAATAAGACACTCATGCGATGTTCTGAAAATTTTAGCAAAAAAATACCAAAGTAAATATAAAATGAAACCTTGTTCTGCTGCACAATTTCCTCCTCTAGACTGCTGATTGTATGTTCATATTCAGAAATTATATTATTCAAATATTTTATTTCCTCTTTATCCTTGACTAATTCCCGATTTAGTTTAAGCTCTTGAAGACGAAGTTCTTCTATCTTCATATGCCAATTGATTACCTAAAAATTACAAATTATATATACAAATGTAGATGCTATATAAATATTTCTCCATTGATTGTAATGATTTTAGTTGAAATTAATGGACACTCTATAATAAAGAAAGATTAAAGTAAGATATAAAATTATCCTTTGTTGAGCCACATGGCAAAATTGATTTAGGATTTCCATAGACATTTCTAAGAATATGTGGGCTCTTAAAACATTCTTCAAATTATACTGGAATGGATATCACTAATATTCACTTTCATATTTTTCATTTGCTATCATATCTTTATTGACTACTTACTAGAAGCATGTCACTGAAACATTGGTATTATTTTCAAAAATGGAAATCCTAAATATTATATTTCTAGCCTAGAAAATAGGATTCAGTTGCAAGACAATTATTTTTCATTTAATTCCTTCCAAATGGGGGTAAAAACCAAATCATATTAAAATAAATGTGGGCCTACTACTTATAAATAATTTTAAACAGATTATTCAATGTTCAAACAAATAGTGAAGAAGAAATCAATTGATGACCACTATGTTTAAAAATAATTATAATTAGTATTTAACTAAATATATGAACTTTTCTAGAGAGTTTAAAATTCTTTGCTGTTATACAATTTGAATACTTTCACTAAAATATTTTCTTAGAAAAGTCTCATTTTATTTTCACAAACAATAGACATTCAAATAGCCAAAACTCCTAATTTATAAAACCTAAATTAATGAATTATAATTGGAATTCTGGTTGCATAGTATGCATTTTTTATATAGGCAAATATTAAGAACTTAAAATTATTATGTAACTGTTTTGGAAATACTGAATTTAAAATCAACATTTACCTTTTGGGCTCCCCTGGCATCCTTTAAAGTGCTTATTAACTCTTCTAGGCCCTTTAACTTTAATTCCATCTCCAAGGTTTTGTTCTCCATATTTCTGTGTTCTTGTTGAGAATTTTTCATTTCTTGCATTATCTTAATTTTGTCATTTTGTAGTTGAATCATGATTTTAGAGAACTTTTCCTGTTGTGCCAAGGGTAAAGCTCCACTAAACTGTCGTCGTAGAGACTGAATTGTTTGGCGCAGATGTTTTGCTCTGTTTCTCCCCTCCAAACGAGCATAATAGAGAGCCTGTTCTTTTTCATCGAGTTTCTGCTCTAAGCGCAAATTGTAGGCCTCTACCTTCTTCAGTTTAGATGTAACTGACTCCAACTTACCAAGAGCAGTAGCCTCACTAATTTGAAGAGAGACAACACATTGGTGCAACTTGGCAATTAGTGCCTTTTCATCAGACTGTGCCTAATATTAGAAAATATATATTTGTAGTAAGTTTCAGGTTTGTTCAATGAAACTTATCATGGATTTAAAAATCACAATTTATTAATACTAAATAAAGTTTTAAAACTGTGGTAAATGAGATTCTACAAAAATCTAACTTTGCTTTAATAATTACCAAAGAAATGTAAAAGAAAAAATCTAAAATCAAACAAACTTAAAATCTAAATTTAACTAAATAACATTTGGAATATTACTAGTTTTTTTAAACTTCCATATGCAAATAACAATTCTGGTATAATACTGATTCAGATGATGTGTATGTTTTGTAAGTCCAAAAAAAAGTATAATGTGAGAATATATGAAAAGCTACATATAAATACAAGAGAAAATATGGTTATTAGAGATTTACTAACTATTCTTTCTCAGTGTCTTAACTTTGATCAGCAGCACAAAGCATCTGTAGGCATCTGAATGCTTTTCTGGATTATGAATGGTATTTCAAATTATAAACGTTTTCTAATCAGGTTCCAACTAACAATATAGGAACCTCTGATTGGTATATCTTCTGATTAAAACTGTAACATCATCCCGGTATCTAATGTGAATTTAGAAAAAATGTAGATTCTATATAGAAGAGCTACTATTGCACATACCTGATAGTCTAGCAGTTGCATTCTGAGGGACTCTACTTCCTTGTCCCTGGACTGTTGTTGTGCATTCAAAATTTCAACTTGCCTTTTGGCAATATCAGAAATCTCTCTCAGTCTGGAAAGTGTTAAGATATTTCAGGAACAATTGAGTACACTGTCTAAGTAAATAATACAATTCAAAATTTCTAGACCCCTTTTGCAAAAAGCCATTAGTTTTCAGCTTTGTACAAAATACTAAAACAGGGTTTCCTGAACTGTTTCATAAAGCATAATTCCATGAAATGATAACAAGTGTATTATTAAAAAACTCCATTCCTAATAACCCTCCCCCTTGAAAATTCATACTATATAATATTAAATGTTCTCAGAAGTTCTACCATAAATAATTACCTCAAATCGTACTTAATACATAGCATTTTCCAAGTGTATATGGCCAAAGAACCTCCACTTCTATACTTTTTAGAGGATATTTGTCATAATTTGGAGTAAGCTAGGATAAAGTATTAAGCAGATTTATCTGATACCATCTCACAGTTAAGAATACAGAAACAAAATTTCTAGATTCTGTAAGTGGATTAATGTATGTTTTAACCTGTTTTAATTTACAAATTTTCATATTTCATATTCAGAAATGTGAAAACACACCAAGTATGCATTTACTACAGTTACATAAAAAGGGGATGGCTGATGGTAAATAAGTGCTTCCATTTCCCTTAAATCTACTGTGATAGTACAGGCAAAGTAAAATGTAAAGTTTCTTTACTTTTAGCTCAGATAAACCAGGTTTTCTTACACTGAACAGAAGCTCTCACTGCCAGATATATGTTTTGATTAATAAAATTAATAATTAGAAATTAGTTTATTTCAAAAGGTAAGGTCCACAAGGAGAGAGGAAGAACAAAAAAAGGAGTCTTTCACAGTGAAAAGGGCATCAACGACTGATATTTCCAAGGACTATGAAAGCTCCAATGGAATGACTATAACCTTATGAGTAAGCCATAAAAATATTTTCACTAATTATTTGTGCTTGACAGATTCTCAGTGCTCCTCATACTTCTCTACTGAAGTGGTACCTAATTACAAAAGACAGTGTAAGACAGCATCTAACTGGCACATAGTATTCACTCCTTACATATATTTTGTGTACTAAATTAGCTGGGCCTATTTCCTCACATAAAATGAAAACAACAATGTTACCTCAGGGTTAATAAGTATGAAAGAAAAAAACCTAGAATCAAACAAACTTAAAAATTCAAATTTAATTAAATAACAGTTGGAATATTACTGTTTTTTTTCATATGCAAATAACAATTCTGGTATAATACTTATTCAGCGTATTTTTTTTAAATCCCCAAAAACGTATAATGTGAGAATATGTGAAAAGCTATATAAAAATACAAATATAAAAGAATATATTATTTTTAGAGATACAGTCAGTTATCTCTATCTAGAGATAGAGTCAATATATGTTTAATACCTTGCCCAGTGCCTAGTACGTAGCAGATGCCCAATAAATGTAAATTGTCAAAATCTAATTTTTCATTATATTTTTACAGTAACCTTATAAAACAGGTAGAAGAGCTACTATTACTTACTCCCTTATTAGAGTGAAAAAACTTAAGTTTAAATACATTAAATAACCATTCCTCCTCCATTGCTTCTTCCCTCAAAAAATCAGTATGCAGCCAGGCGTGGTGGCACACGCCTGTAATCCTAGCACTCTGGGAGGCCGAGGCAGGAAGATCGCTCAAGGTCAGGAGTTCAAGACCAACCTGAGCAAGAGTGAGACCCCATCTCTACGAAAAATAGAAAGAAATTAGCCTGGACAAAAATATATAGAAAAAACTAGCCGGACATGGTGGCGCATGCCTGTAGTCCCAGCTACTCGGGAGGCTGAGGCAGAAGGATCGCTTGAGCCCAGGAGTCTGAGGTTGCTGTCAGCTAGCATGACGCCACGGCACTCTAGCCTAGGCAACAGAGCAAGACTCTGTCTCAAAAAAAAAAAAAAAAAATCTGTATGCAGAAGAACTGGACCTCACAGGGTCTTTATTCCAAACTCAGCACTTTCTGCAATAATATTCCTGGACTCTGAAAACTGCAAATCTTGAAAGGTAATTTCCTCTTGAATATTACTATTTAACCCTGTTAAAATCAACCTTGTTAATACTATTTAATCCTGTTCATATAAAAAGAAACCAGTATTAATTGCCACTAAGATTATTAGCCCTGTATGCTTGTAATTAGGTTTCTTAAAGACAAATTAGAGCTGACACACCTAATCAAATGACTAAAGTGTTTGTATGCACTTACTTTGACATTTCAACTTTTAGTTCCATTTCATTCTTCTCTAATTCTAGAATCCGTTGCCTATCAGCATCACTTACTGCCTTGCTCACACTATCAGCTAATTCATCTCTTAACATCTGTTCCACCTTCTGTGCATCCAAGCTGATTTTGGTAAGCTAAGAAAATATAACATAAAAAAAAGTTCAGATACATCAGTTTTTGGTGGGGTTTCCCTTGTAATTTAGCTTTTAGAGTACTGCAGTCCTCTTCACTTTGCCTTGGTCCACATATTAAATTGAGTGTGAGTATTAAGAACAGACTAAAAAGAGAGGAAAGAATCAGGAATAAATCATGCAAACTCTGGTTATATTCCAATCCACCAAAAATCATTTTTATTATGTAACTCACTAATGTCTTAACTTCTACTATTCTTAATTTGCTTAGAATGTGGCATACTCATTATATTTTACTTCAATTATATCATCTATAAACAAATATAAATGAGTTAATGAAGACTTATTCGTATAGATTTAGTGATTCAGTTAAAATGAACACAAATGATATATATGCTTTGGAAAATATATTAAATCTTAAAGTAAGCAAGCATTATAAGAATGTTGTTTAATCATACATTGTCAAATATTTGCAAACTATATTTACTGCAGTCAACTGATTCTGACCACATCTAAAAATATAAAATCTCCTATTAGAAGGTAAAGTCCCTGAAAGCAGAAATTACTGTCTATTCTGTTTCTTGCTATAGTCCCAGTCCCCGCACACGGTCTGACATATAACAAGCAATGAATAAATATTTGTTAAATGAAGGGATGGTGGTGGAAGACAATTCCATTATTAAGTAAATAACATCCTTTTTGTACATCAAATCTAATAATGTAACTTTGGTGAAAAACAAGAACTCATTCACAGTTGTTTCATGTTTCATTTTAAATAATTCGTTTTAATTGCTTTGATTTTAAACAATTCAAATTTAAAAGTAAATCTTTTATTTACTCATTACATGAAACCCAAGCACTGTATTACTACGCTACTTCAGAGATCTAAACCAACCTCATAACGAAGAGACTAATTCTTTACTCTCTAATTACATAATAAAAATTATAATATCAAACCTCAGCAAATTTGGTTTCCAGTTCAAAATTACGTTCTTCTGTTTGCTTTAATGAAGTCCTTAAGTGTTCGTACATTTTTTGACAATGTTCAGCCCGCTGTCTTTCATTTAATTCCTTCATTTCCAACATAGTTATTTTTTTTGAAATAGAAACAATGTCACTGTTGGTTATTGACTTCTTTGCCTTATCCATGTGAGATTCATTTCCTATATGTAATAATACTTAAGTCAATCTCATGTTGTTTATATTAAAATTACATCTCAGGTATTTTAGCTATACATAAGGAGGCAATATTGTTCCACAGAAAGCACATGAATTTTTGGATTACAACAAACCTGGACTTTATTCTGAGTTCTGTTACTTCCTGCCTGTATGATGCCTGTCCCTGGAATTTCTCTGGAACTTAACATTCTTCATCAATCAAATGATAATAAAAAATCATTGTTGAAATAACAAGGTAAAGGACTTAGTGTAGAGGTGTCACATATAGGAAATAAAAAATGGTAAATAACCATATTTCACCGAAATGAGATAAAATGTATGAAAAGCAATGCAATAAAGCAACATGACTTTGTGAATATAAGTGCAATGATTTGATTTTTAAAATCTCACAGGGCCAAGCTGAAAAGTAAAATCTGAAGCCGTATGATTGATTTTTACCAAATACGATCTTCTCTAACCATGAGTATTTTTTGGTCTTTGTATACATCTAATATCAAATATTTTACATCCTTTTATTAGTTGTTATGACATAACCTTACAAATGCACTTACATGGCTTGTCTTTGGACACAAAAGTCTGTAGTTAAATGAAAAGAGAATTAAAATCCCCTGTTTATTATGAAAAGGTATCATGCAAAAGTATCATTAGTTACTTAGTAATTTTGAGGCTGTAGGAAGAAAACTTACACTTTTGCCTTATCTGAGACATGCTCTAGAAAAAGACAAAATTTGGTAGAGTATTTTGTTTTTTAGAGACTTAATGAAAACCCATATGTTTCAGGTAGCCAATTATGTAAAAGAATTAAGCAATGATTCACTTTGTAGATGGTCTTTTACGGTATCAATAATGCCCCCTCCTATTTTTCCAGCTTCCTAAATTCAAGTTTTATATAACTTAGTTTTCTCAAAATAATATACATTTTTTAAAAGAAAAAAAATTTTGGTGTCTGTCTCAGTTTTAAAAAGTACTTTAGAATTCACAATTGCAAAGATGTGGAATCAACCCAAGTACCCATCAATACATGAATGGATTAACAAAATGTGGTGTCTGTATACTATGGAATACTACATATACATGAGGAAGAATGAATTAATGCCTTTTAGAACAATTTTGATGGAAGTAGAGACCACTATCCTAAGTGAAGTGTCTAAAGAATGGAAAAATAAACACCACATCTGCTTGCTAGTAAATTGAAACTAACTTATGAGCACACATGTGCACAGAGGAAATGAAACTAAGCAGAAATCAAGCAGTGGGGAGGGGGGATAAGGGGATGGGTGAAAACCTACCTAACAAGTACAATGAACATTATCTGAGTGATAGGCACACTTATAACCCTGACTCAAACATAACAAAATAGATACATGTAACCAAAAACATTTGTACTCTCACAATATTTTGAAATTAAAAAAATAATAAA